CCGTCGATGCAGCGTCTGGATCGGCCAAGTTGTTCCGCGATGGCCTTGTTGCTACGGCCTGCTTGACGAAGCGATATAATTTGGCTTTGTTCTGTTGAAGATAGACGACGACCCTCAGGCATGGTGGACTGCTTTGGATTGCGGACAGAACAGTTTTGGACAGAAGGCTATAGGGCTGCGCGAACTTGAGATATTTCGTAGCAAGGACGGCATGGCATAAGCAATTGACGCGGCTAATTTTCACTTTATCGCCAAAAAAAGGGCGCTACCGCAGCGTTCAAATATGTTTAGGCTTTGTTGAAACTCTTGTTCACTCAGTAAGTGTTGGTCAACATTTCAGCCCGCAATGTTGCCTAACAACTCAGATAAAAGAAAAAATAGGGGATGGCATATGCAATTGACGCGCACTGTATTATCGCCTTTTCATAATGAAGGTTGACTTCGGAGAAAAATGCTTCCCCGTCATTTGCCAGGGCCTACACCTGCGACTGCATCCTTATTGTAGAACACCGGAAGCAGAGGAGCGTTTCAGGCAGGCAGCAATAGAGGACCAGCGCGGTCAACATCGGAACGATGCGCCGCGGGCAAGAAACGTGGAGGCCGGAAGGGCAACAGGTAGTCGTGGAGCGCCGAATAGGAACCCATACCGTCGCAGCGGACGTGGCGCTTTTAGAGGCAGAGGCTCCCCCTACAGTCGTATCAGGAATGCTCCCATTCGACGAAGATGGTAGGACGAGGTTGGCTGAGTGGGGCAGCCAATTCGAAGAGGAGGGGCATGTCATGTACGCGTTGCTTACCATGTATTGTACTCGCCATATATTGTTTTCAGGTTTTCCTCATGTATTTGTTGTGTGTAAGGATCTCATATAATTGTACTGGTGTCGTAATCGATTTGAGATTTGTGAAGCGATGTCCTTGCGATAAAGGATAATTGATTGGGTTTCGCAACTATTGATTTGACCCGGTGCCTGGGAAAGTACCACAGTAACCAATCACCATCATGGGAACCGGGGGGCGGGGCAGGAGGTATATAAACGCGAGGAGGCTACGGCGGAGCGTCTTTGAGGAAGTGTCTTGTTTCGGAGCGGTCGGCTTCGAAAGACTTAAGTAGTCACAAGCACTACGAGACTCCAGCTAGAAGTATCTTCCCTAGCCTGGATCAGAAGGCGGTTAGCCTACCTTGCTTTGAGCTATCAGTTACACCACGACTAGTGCTCCTACCCCTCCCGCCGGAGCCCATTAGCCTACCGAACTGCTCATCGTGCAACCCGGAGCACCAGGGCCGATATTCTGATAACTTGCCTTTCAGTAAGGGAGTTTCGAATAAAGAGTTTTAAAGACGATTGTGCTCGTTCTTTAACCGGTTGGTGCCGGACATATCGGATTGATTTGCAGATATTGATTTGTATTTGAGAAAAGAGACAACGGGATGTCAGCCACCAGGCAGAGTCTGGCAGAATCCGCGGGGTCGAGGTCGGACCAAGCCCCGTCGGACTCTCGCGACAAGCCTCAGACTGACATGGGGCGCAAGCCCCAACCTGACATGGGGGCCAAGCCATCTCAAAACATCAATATTGCAGATATGGCCGATGAGCCTCAGGTAGATGCAATGGATGTCCAAGTGGAAGGAGCTCAAGATGAGCATGAGGTAAGCCTCTGGAAAAGGCTTTTAATGGAATTACCTCAGATCGTGGATAACGAGCTTACCGCCAATTTGAGAAATGTGGCAGGAACTAAAAGACAGAACATCTTAACTGCGGTTAGCAACGCTGTGCACGAAGCCATTGCAGCGGTGGAGTCAAAGTTCGAGAATGCCATAATGGCGGATATTCTAGCGGATAAGATGGGGATACCATTCCGCAGACTGGAGCGTGAGCTCCCGATTTTGATGCGAGAAGCCGAAGCAATGGTTCGTGTAACAACGGCGCTCGGTTGTCCTAGCGCTAAGATCCTAGCTTTGATAGAGTTAAAGGATAAGGAAAATCAATGGCTGCGATCTCAACTACTCTCGTTGCAGGGAAGCCAGGCGATTCCAAAGCCACAGCAGACAGTTGATACCATGCCGGCTGAAGGTAATCAGAGACTTGAGGATGTTCCACAGTTGCGGTCGGCAACGCCAGTTAGTCAGTTGTGTCACTCATTTCAGACGCGCACAGACATGCAGCCGATAGATGGACGCCTGGGGAACCTTCGGAGGACATCCGAAACGAAGTCTACCACATCCTCGCAGAGGTGCAGGCGGTCGACCACAAGTTCCTCTGAATCACTTCTAACGGTATTTAAAGAAGCTTTTAAAGCGCAGTCACTCAGAGCAGTTGACAGCTATGATGGAAAAGGATCTCTCACGGATTTTGTGAGAGCACTAAATGTGAAGTATCCACAATCAGTGTGGAGTGACAATGACAGAAGGGATATTTTGTTGGACCATTTGAGTGGATCCGCNTGGGATTCATATTGGTTCCTAAGAAAAATCAAATATTTCGTGTATCCCCTCCCTCTAAAGCGTAATTGCTCTATTCACGACGTTGGGCAGCAACCAGATACGCGCCCAAAAAAATATTCAAAAAATACTCGACAAAATAGAAATGGAAAACGCATGCAACTCAACTGGCAGAACTACTCAAGACAGGATGAAGAAGTTAACGAAGAGTAGAAAGAAGGAGAAGTCGAAGAAAAAGGAAAGTGATGATTGTGATGAAAGTGCTATTGAAACGGTAACCTTCCATTCAAAACAGATGCAAAGATTGCTCAACCCCACTCTAACGACCACTTTTTAGAATTCAATTTCTCTCCTGTCCCACCTCTTATAAAAAAAAGACTACCTAATGAATTCTACAAAAGCCCAATGGATACATCAAACGTAAACTGCAAGGTACTACGTCGAAAAAGCACCTATCCAGCCCCTGCACTCGTTCCCCACGATAGCCGCTCTAACAAAGCCATTGTTCGAGGATGTGTCAAATGTTGCAG